CATTTAAAATACTTTCCAAGACTTTCTAGTTTTTTAAAAATACACTTTGTGTGTGTGTGTGTGTGTGTGTGTGTGTGTGTTGCGCACATGCCATGGCACACGTACACATGTATAGAAACCAGAGGACAATTGGAATAGGTTTTTTCCTTCCACCATGTGGGTCCCCAGGGACCAAACTCAGGTGGGTAAGCTTGGCAGTAAGCGGCCTTTTACTCAATAAGCTGCTTGCCTGCCTTCTTTGTACAATTTTTAAAAAAATTTTCATCTGGGGGCTGGAGAGATGGTTCAGTGATTAAGAGCACTGACTATTCTTCCAGAGGACCCAGGTTCGAATCCCAGCACCCACATGGTGGTTAACAATCATCTGCAACATCCTCTTCTGACTTCTGTGAGCATTGCACAACATGGGTGCACTTACATACATGTGGGGAATACACACATAAAGCAATCATTAAAAAAAAAATTTTTAAAGAAAAATTTTATCTATTCAGAACCTGGTTTGGGGATTTGAGACAGGATCTCACTCTAGTCCAGGCTGATCCCTATACTCATGGCAGTCCTCCTGCCTCAGCCTCTAGAGTGCTGAACCATCATGTCCAGCTCTGGATACACAATTTTGAGTTGACAGGTATTTTCACTTTACTGATCCACTTCCTCTGACCTCCATGGTTTCTGTAAAGAATCCATTGTTGAAACTCAGTGCCAGTGCAACTGGGTGCTTCATGGCATCTTTCAGCTCTGGACAGTTTGAGAACGATGGTGTCTGGTTGGGTTATTTTGGAGACAGGGTCTTCTTATGTGGCCTGGGGTAGCCTTGAACTCAAATAATCCTGCCTCAGCCTTAAGTGCTGACATCACAGGTGCTTGGTGAGTTCCTCTGGGTTTATCCTGAACAATATTGGCTCAGCCTCTTGAATCTGTTAGGTTTGTACCTTTCACCAGACTTGGGAGTTTCCCAGTCACTGTCCATTCATGTTTTCAAAGCACTTTGTTCTTGTCTTACCCATCTTTGGCTGCTGTGACATGACCTTGAGCCCTCTGCTGTCACACCACAGGTCCCTGTGAGACCCTGCTCCTTTCCAGCCTCTTTGCTTTCTGTTGTTCAGACAAGTGGTCGCTCTTCCCCTCCCCTCTGTTCCCTTCCCTCCCCACTCCCCCTCCTCCTCTGCCCTCTCCCACCTCCATTTGGCCATTATGCCTATTCAGCAAGTCTTTTAAATTTCAGTTGTGCTCTCAGTTCTAATATTTTCATTTAGGGTTTTTTTTTTTTTGAGATTAGGGTCTTACTATGTAGCCCTGGCTGGCCCCAACCCAGCCTCTGCCTCCCCAGTTCTAGGATTAAGGTATGAGCCACTATGCCTTGGCTATTCACTTACGTCTTTACATCATCTATTGCTTACTGATAATTCCTGTTCTAATATTTGTCTCAAGAGTATTTAGATTGCTCGTTAGAGTTTATTAACAGCTACTTTAAAGTCAGTACCAACATCTGCTGCCTTTCCTCTTGAGCTGCAGTTCACATGCCGAGTGGCATGGCTGTGTCCCAGCACCAAATGTCACGTGTTTAAACCCTGTGGAGAATGTTTCTGACTTTGCAGCAGTTGATGTGGCTGGGCACAGGCCTCGTGTTTGAACCAGCCTTCTGTGGGTACAATTCCAAAGCCACCTGGTCCCAAAGCCCTGGCTGTGCTATCTGGACCTACCCACCTATGACTTGCCTGTGGCATCTGAGTAGTCCCCTGCTGGCTCAGTTTCCACTTGGGTTTGCTAATTAGGGCCAGTGTGAACCAGGCAACATCTAAACCAAGCTGAGGTGTGAGCCAGGTAAGCAGGGGTTCTGCATGCTCAGCCTCTGTTCTCTCAGATTCAGAAATGAATGTGACACTCAAAACAGCTAACAACCATCCTAACTCTAGTTCCAGGGGATCCGATGGCATTGCACAACTCAGGTGCGCTCATATCACGCAAGCAATACTCTCATACACATAAAATCAAAAATAATAAAAATACTTAAAGCTCATGAATCAATCAAAGAATTTCTACAGAAAAGTATCTTAGATTCTTACAGGAAGAGGCACTAATAAAGAACAGAGTGTTGTCTTCCTGCGGCACCTTCAGTGGCACTGATTTTGAGGCCTTGGCAAGCAGGGCTGTAGAGCTGCTGGTCCTCAAGTGTCGTATTTGGGATGCTCTGCAGCGATGTGCCCCGAGAGCTGAACATCCACCTCATGACATGATTATGTCTGATGTAACTGTGTACAAGCCTGGATAAAGAAAACAAGGAATGTTCATAAATATGCACAGATGGGCAGATGAGTATGAATATGGAGCTGCTGCCAATCCAGCCTGTTTGGGGGCTGAAGATGTAACTCAGTTGACAGGGTGCTTGCTTCAGTATGCATGAAGCCCTGGGTTTCATTCCCCAGAACTGCAAAAACTGGGTGTGGTGGTATACACCTGCCACTCCAGCACTTGTGAGGTAGAGGTAGGAGGATCAGGAATTCAAGATCATCTTTACCTACATACAGTCTGGGATATATGAGAGCTTATCTCCAAAAAAGAAGCCCAAAGTTTTCCTCAATGACATATTTGAGGCCAGCTTGAGCTATAAGTCTCTCAAAGAGAGAGAGAAAGAAAGAGATTGGCTGGAGAGATGGCTCAGGGGTTAAGAGCTGCTCTTGCAGAGGACCCGGATTTGATTCCTAGCACCCACATGGCAGCTAACAACCATCCATAATTCCAGTTCCAGGGGACCCGATTCCCTCTTCTGACCTCCACAGGCATTGCATGACAGTGGGCTTATATACAACCAGGCAATACACTCATACACATAAAATTAAAATATTTCTTAAGAGAGATAAAAAGAAATTCATTTTGTTTCCTTCTTGGATGAAACCACTTTTAGGTCTTGAAGTTTCTTATTTAGAGACAAAAATGATCTTCTGTAATGAAAACAGAAGAGAAGAACGCAGGCCGGGCAGCACAGAGCTTGCCTAGCCAGCAGGAGGTCTTGGGTTTAATCCTGAGCTTAAACAGGGCATCTAACCTATACACACGTGTAATCAGCAGTTGGAAGAAGGAGGAGTAGAAAGTTTAAGATAATCTTTGGCTGGCTGCATAGTTCAAAGGCTAGCCTAAGCTACATGAGCCCCTGTCTCAAAAAAAACTAAATAAAAGATAAAGGATGGAAGAAAGAAGTCCATTTCAAATGCAAGTATTTTGAAATACCAGATTACATTTTCAGGATTACTTTTACACTAACTTACTAACTGACCCCAGAGTGTACAGGAAGGACCTTGGGCCAGGCACCAGCAAATAAAACCAAACCACTAGAGAACTGATCATGTCAATAGCATGGGTTTTTCTTCCAGGTGGACCAATCAGCAATCCATAAACTGTTTTTCCTGAGCAATGAACTTAACAGGAGAGTAAGTCCTCACCTCCCACCTGCGTGGGGCCTCGCTCCTCCTTCACCAGTAACACTCCTAGGTGTCTTAAATGTCAAGGAGTCTAACATTCCACTTACAAAGCTTCTAAAGATTTTTTTAACTTGGAAATTGTACAGAGTTCTCTTTTGGCTGTTGCTTTGTTATTTGTTCCCATGTGGGGAACCCAGTGCCCTGTGCGTGCTGGGCAAGCACTCTATCACTGAGCTATACTCCCACCTTGGCAGAATTCTTTCAGAAATGAAGACTTCCAGTAACTCAAGCCCAGCAACAACTCCCTCGCTTGCTATCTTTCTTGCAATTTAGTCCAACTGCTGTGACCTAACCATTCATACCTTTGAGTTACTAGCAGCCAACCTTCAATGAAACCCAACTACAAAGACGTTGCATATGAAATAGTATTAACAGGTAAGACAGCCCAGTCTATAGCACCTTCAGTTAACCTGCGAAATATATAAACATGTTAAAAATTTCAGGGGAGAGGATGAGCAGACATACAACCAACACCAAGTATCTAGACATCTTCTAAACACACAGTTTAAGAGATTGGTATTTTCCTCTCCTCTTCAGCCCAGCAGAGCTGGACATTCTTACTTTGATTTTCTATTACTAATTCTAATGTAAAAGTAGCACAAAACCCAAAAAGCATGTTTATGGCAAACTTTTAATTATGACCTTAAAATAAAATTTTAAAAAGTCTTTCATGTATCATTTGAGTTATCACTGGATACTCAAACGTTTTCAGATTTTTCAGCATTAATTTTAAACTATCTCACTGCCTTACATTAGCTCCTAAAATAAGAAAACGTTAAGATCTTCCTTTTTTTAAAATAAAAAAAGGATAAAATTGTTACATTTTCTTTTTTAATGTTTTATTTATTTTTAATTTATGTGTATGCGTGTATTGCCTGCGTGAAGGTAAGCACACCCGTGTCATGCAGTGCCTGTGGAGGACAGAAGAGGCTGTCGGATCCCCTGGAACTGGAATTATGGCCAGTTGTTAGCCGCCATGTGGGTGCTAGGATTTGAACCTGGGTCTTCTGCAAGAATAGTCAGCGTTAACCGCTGGGCCACCTCTCCAACCTCAATTGTTACGTTTTTAAAGGCTTAAAAGTTATTGCCACCTTTTCAAAAAGTGGAAGGGAAAAAAGTAAGCATTAAGGACTCAGGTGTGGGAAGGGGATCACAACTGACTTTTTTGTAGTTTATGAACATTAAAAATTCTTCAAAACTCCTGATCATTTGTGATTTGCTTATAGAGAAGAAGAGACAGGCCAACACAGCCTTTCATACACGTCGGTCACACACCAATGCAGGTCTGTTTTCTAAACAAGTCTAAGGAAGGCTAGGGTCAGGGTTCTGTACCTCTCCCCACCATCTTTTTGAGGTTGTAAGGTATGATTCGATGATGCCAGCCTGAGTCAGGAGTGCAGACCTTCAAGGTACAGCTTTACAAAGAGCAGTTCTCCAAAAACCTGGGACAATGTCCCAAGCACCCTGTGCATGTGACATTTTGGGACTGATGGTTAACAAAGAATCACTAGCAAGATTGTGTTGGACAACATGTAGAATTTACTCTTTACACCTCAGTGATTGGAGGGCTCTGTACATAAGACTATACAAAACTATGCAAATATTTAAAAAGTTTTTAAAAACACTCATGATTTTTCAGTATGCATTTTCAAAGCTTAATACAGTTTTAAGATGACACTGTGTGACAATTTCATATGGAATGAAATCAGTTTGTGGTCTAGAAATTATCATATTCAAAACCCAAAATAAAAATATCAAGGAAATGCTTGGCCCCACGCCCAGCACTAGGTTTTCACCCAACAAACTCAGGTGCTAAGTGGACGCAGGCCAAGGATCTCCTTGTCTCTTGGGAAGAATGTGGCACTCATCCTTCTGAGAGTCCCTTCTGCAGGATGGAGAAGATGCCCATCTTATGGAGACCTGTGTTTTTTAAAACGATTTTTCTAGCCTGACAGGGGTTCTGTACTAGGGAAAGAAGCCCTGTTTACAGCCATGCCTGCACAGGTCCAGTTCTCCCACAGTAAGACAGAAAAGATTGCCAAGCTGGGGATCAAATACGCATGTTTTCAACCTAAACTATCAGTGCTATGCACAGTTAAGTCTGTAGAAGGAAAGCAGAATGGTGTAGACAACACGCTGAAGGTGTCTTCTGATCCCTCCCCACAGGTGGAATGAGCTCCATTCATTCAGCATGATTTCAGATTACAAGGCTTCCATGCCATTGCCAGCTATCACAGAAGAGGGGTGTGGCAGAGCTCAGACTGAAGTTACTGACTGTTCCATGTGTGCTCTAAAAGTAAATACTGTAGGTAAAAGAACGTGACACTGACTCAAAAGAAACGTCACCATTACTCTCTACACACACTACACAACACTCACTGGAATGTATCCAAACTATTAAACTCTGTATTAAGAAACTGGCTAGATGATGATTTAAAGAGGTGATCCTCGCTCTGGCCAGAAAAATCTTACATATCACAACTGCTGGAGTTCTAGTTCACCATAACAGCATTAGTCATGGGGCTCACACCTTGTGCTTCACTTGATGCAAACACACACGGTGACAGTGAGTCCTGTGCTGTAGAACCAGGTGATCTTGCCAGCTGTGGGATGTGATGCTGCTCAGAATAAACAGTTCCTCCTGCAATACAGGAGGATGTGGACGGGAAGCATCTAAAGCCGGTTAAAGGCATTTGGTGTGGGTATCTCAGAAATTAAAATGCTTTAAAATAAAACTCTTACAAGAATATCAAGACTTGGGGTCTTGTCTTCATAAACAACCCAATGTCTATGGCTTCGATGGTCTGCCTAACTACTAAGGCAGGTGACCAACCACCACCAAAACAAAACCATCTTTTGGAAATTCCCTAAGAAGAGCTGTGCAGGGTCTGTTTGTTTCATCCACCTGTGTGGTTTCATTTGATAGTGTGTTTTGCTTTCTTTTCTCTTATATTCTTTTACAAAGACTTTCTGAAGGAGGCTGTCCTGGCACCTAGGCCCTCGCTGAGTAGCACCGCATGTACTCCGTCAGCCATGGGTTCTCTGCGGAAGATGGCTTTATCCTTCTGTTCTTCTCCACATCCACAGAGTGAGCCCGCTGCCTCTGAGCAGCCAGTTTCCTTTTTTCCACCTGTCTTCTGTTCTTAGCTCGTAGTGCGGATTCATGAATCTAAAGAAAGTTCAAGACTAAGAGTTAGTAGCCTCAGTGGCTTGGGACTGATTTTCAATAATATCTCACTGAAAGTTTTGGGATACAGCTCATGGCAGCCCAGCATGTACAAGGCCCTAGGTTCCATCCCCAGCACTGCATAAACCAGGCATGGTGATGGGACACCAATATTCCAGAACTTGGGAGGTGGAAAGAAAGGATCAGAAGTTCAAGGTCAAGGTCAAAGTCATCCTCAACTACATAGAAAATTCAATGCCAGCTTGAGATTTGAGACCATCTTATGTCACCAGCCAGGATCCCTGAAACAGCATCAAAGCCCTGTCTGTCTGCAGTCCTATATCAAAACTTACATAGATTATGCCATCCCATTGCCACAACTCATCCATCACTGGTGATGGCAAAGCTGAGCTGCAGAAACATTTTTAGACAGAAATGGTAAGCAACTAATTTGCTAGGACTACCTGATTTTGTTTTCAATTGTTTTGTTTAGACAAAGTCTCACTATGTTCTGGCTAGCTTGGAACTCACTATGTAGACCAGGCTGGTCTCATAGTCTCAAGAGATCTGCCTCCTCTGCCTCCTGAGTACTAGGATTAAAAGGCTTGCACCACCACACCCAGCCTCTTCTCTGTTCCTTTTTTTCTTTTGTTTTTTTTGAGACAGGGTCTCCCTGTAGTCCCAGCTGTCCTGGAACTCACTGTGTAGACCAGGCTGGCCTTGAATTCACAGAGATCTGCCTGCCTCTTTCTCCATTCTATAGGGGAGGAGTTTCCATAGTTTTCCAGAGTTGGGCATGGCAGGTGGATCTCTGTGAGTTCCAGGCCAGCAAGAGTGAGATCCTGGAGGGGGGGAGGGGGGGCGGGGCGAGGCGAGGAGAAAGAGGGGAGAGGGAGGGGAGAGGGAAAGAGAGAAAGAGAGAGAGAGAGAGAGCAAGAGAGAGAGAGAGGGAGAGAGAGAAAGAGAGGAAGAATCTATTGAAGAACTCTGGAGAGTGCTTTAAAGCACTACACTAAAAAATGTGGGGGGCATCCAGGTACAGGGATAAAAGTCTGTAATCCCACAACTCAGCAAGTGGAGACCAGAGGATTAGAAATTCAAGGTCATTCTCAGCTACATAGTGAATTCCAGGCCAGCCTGGGGAATATGAGATCCTACTTCCAAATAAAACAAAAAAAATGTCAGGGGAGTTTATCCTTTGTAGGGTAAACACTGTTAAATTAGTCCCAGGGACTCATCAGGGTCTTCTGTTAACAAGTACCCCCTTGTCTCGAATTTCACTACAAAAAAAAAAAAAAAAAAAAAAAAAAAAAAAAAAAAAAAAAAAAAAAAAAACACCATCTGCCACCCAGAGGCTGCTCCTGACTGACATTTAAAGGGAATTCACAGTTTTCAGTTTCTCTTCCTGCCTCTTCTAAGGCATGTGACTCTCACAGCTACACATGAGGGTTCTCATTAAGCTGTCTTGGGTCTTGACAGAACAACAAACCAAGGTCAAGTCAGATGATTTAAGCTCCAGGGAACAAAATACTATTGTAGTCAAATGGGAAAGCAGCAAGCTGACTCTCATGAGAAGGGAAAACAGAAGTCCCTAGATGTCAGGCAATCCCACACACCTGGACATCAGGTTAACAGAGCTAAGGAAAACTAAGACCCCTGGGAGGGGAAAGCAGCTCCAGCCCCATTGTGCTGCTCCCCTGTGGCCCAGGCTCCAGAACTCAGGAACCACAATGGCAGGCACCTGCCTCTACCCCTGGCTCAGAATTTACTGAGCACCAGTCAACCCTGGGCCCTAGCTCCTGCCCACCAACATTCCTGGCCTTCTGCTGGTGTCCAGAGCTGCCTTATGCTGCTGCCCTAGACCCCACACCACCTCAGGACCTCCAAAGGGCCAGAGCATCCTTCCCTCAGGAACAATGCCCTGTGGTAGCACACTTCCAAGGCGCACCTCATGCACAGCAGCAGATGCACAGACGTTGTGAGTCTTCTGGCTCCCCGTGTCCGTCTGTTTCTCTCCCCAGCCATAAAGAGCAAATGGATGTTTGTTCTCTTTTATTTTGCTTGTTGATCTTTGGGGGCTTTTGGCTGCTTTCCTACTTCCTCTAGCAAATAAGGCACTAGGCTGCTGTCGAGGTTCAGTGCCACTGGGCACCCTGTCAGTCTCTTTTGTTCCGGTTTGCTGTTCTGGTTTTTCTTCTAAGTCTTTTGCTGGCAGTGCTTTTGAAGAAAAGGGATGAGACAAGATGGAAATACTTTAAAATCAAGTTTATATATAATACTTAATTTGATAATAAAAATAATAAATTTTCATCAAGCCACCCACATACTTACTATGGCTTAACTCAATAGGTTCTGCTTAAAGCAAGCTATGAAAACAAGTTTGTAGAGTAAGTTTCAATCCATTTGTCCCAATTTAAAATCAACAACAAAAGTGCCAACATTGAGCTAAGACAATCCCAAAGCAAATTTGGTGGCATCTTCAGGATTCATCATCTCTGTGACAGGTGAGGTGCATACAGCCTGGGGGCTTCCTCCACAAGCCCCAGAATTCAACCACCTGGATGCTCCCCCTAGGGACAGACTAGGCTGTCCTCATTGAGCAAATGTCAAACACGTTTTTGTTTTTGGTTTTTTTTTTTTTGAGAAGGGTTTTACTATGTAACTCTGGCTGGACTCAGACTCAGAGAGACCCTTCTGCCTCTGCCTCTAAGTGCTAGGATCAAAGGTGCACAGCACCACACTAGGCACTCTCCTGGTTTTTAACAAGACATAGGACTTTTGCATAAATCCTTCCTAGGTCTGTTTCCTTTCTATGTCAGAGCACACTGGAATCTGAGTTCAGAAGCTGCTCGGGCATCACACACCCTCCTCCATTAGCTGCTGCAGAATTAGGCTCTTCATGATAACTATACAGACTGCTGTGACACAGCCTGATCCCCTCCAAGGATGGACCCTCAGCCCTACTGCCTTTAGCTTAGCTTCTGTTCCACATTCCTCTGCATCAGACTGTACCCTTTGTGGAGAGTCCAGGAAAGGAACACCTGACTGCAGAAAACCTTTGTTTTTGTCACTTCTACCCTGAGGCTTTGGCCTTGGCTTTACCAACCCATTTCATTTTTACTGAATATTTTAAATATCAGATAACCCAACCCAAGCCTAACATCTACATCCTATACCAGGCTATGAACCTGACAGTGAAGTTGTATGAGATGACAGGACACTGGGTTCCACTCCATCCCAGGGACCTAAGTCCACTCGCTGCCCAAGTACTCTGCATACTGTGCCCATAACCTTCCTTCACCTTGGTGTAGGAAGTATGGAAGAGAGACCCTCAGGGTCAAAGCAAAGAGAAAGAGGAGGGCGGGGAAGGACCTGTACAGATCCAATGCAGAGAGTAAGGGACCAGGCGGTGACCTGAGTCCTGGGTCCTTTTTCCTCCTCTCCTGATCCACATCTCCCAGGGCAACCTGACCAGGGAGGGCAATAATGACCTTCATCAAGAGAATAGCTGATGCTGGTCAGGAAAAAGACCAGGAGAGAAATCGCTTGTTGAAAGGCTCCAGGAGGGGATTATAAAGTTCTAAAGGGTAAGTGCTCACACAGAGTCTACAGCCAAGGGCCAGGAGCAGGTGGAAACAGGAAAATACAGCTTTCTATGCTGAATTTGGATCGGGGAGGAGGTTCCTAGAAATCATGGAAGGATTTTAAGCTTAGAAAATGATGTGGAACTGTCTATTTTAGGGTGGGTTGGATAAGAGAGCAAGGCCAAGTGACTAACAGGAAAAACTAACAACTGCCTAGGGTAAACAGATACTCTGACACCAGGCAGGGATGGGGGCGGGGGGTTGGAGAGAAGGACCCAATGGTCCTCACAGGCATTCTAAGCAGATAGTCTTCCTATCCATGAACACGGGCATTCAAGGAAGGAACTGGACAGGGTAGAACGACCAGGCAGTAGACGTCCACAAGCAAGTTGAGAGATATGATGGCACTGGGGACCAGAGTCTAAGTGCACTGATTGGGGACGGGAGTGGGGGGTGGGGGGAGCTTCCTGTAGTGCAACGGGATTGCCCAGGGCAAATAAGGAGCAGGAAGCCAGAAGGGTAAAGTTGAACCCCTGGGACACTAATTTAAAGAACCCAGAAGCAAGAGAAAGGAAGGCTGTCTAGAAAGGTGAAAAAAACAGGAGAAGCTGAGGAAGTGCCACATACCACAGAGAAATCAGTGTGACTGGGACCCTGCACTCATCAGTGAGACTCTGGTGGGTGTACAAGGGGACACAAGGGGCAGGGATCAGGCCACAGAGGCAGAGCAGTGGAGAGTGGAGACTGCCCCCCTGGTTTGGATCAACCACCCCTACTACAGGGACCCAAGACAGCTCAGTGAAGTGCAAAAGTCACTGTCCATGGTATCCAGCCAAAACCTAAAACCTTCTTCGATACCTTAGAGTCCAGATGATTCCTACAAATAACTTTCCCACAGAATTACCACAGAAAATAACCTGGCACACAAGGAAAGAGTGTGATGCTGGGACAACTAGCTGGAGCAAGAGACGAGATACTGAAATTATCATCTACAGATGATGAAATAACGGTGCTTACATTCTGTGCTTAAAGAAAAGGACATACTTGAAAATTATCCCCAGTGGGAAACAAAAAGATGGACAATACAGAAGAAAAGAGGCAGAACGTCTCACTGTAATTGTAATAGTTATAAAACTCTTAAAATAGTGCCTGGTACATGGTAATTACATATAAGTTATGCTTTTAAAATCCTCTTTGAAAGAATATTTAAAATAAGGATGTTTTCAGATGAAGAAAAACAGCATTTCCCACAAGTTACAGGGGAAGACTGAAATGCCTTTCTCAGTAATTGAGAGAACATTCAAATTAAAATAAATCCAGTCTTTAGAATGCTGCTGCCCAGTACAGTAGCCTTTAACTACACGTAACTATTAAGTTTAAGTTAATTAAAAGTAAATAAAATGAAAAGATGACCCTGTGCTCAATAACATCATGTTGGATGCTGCAGAAAATGTTATCTACCACCACAAAGCTATTCTGAAGAATCTAATTCAAAGGAAAAAAAAAACACTTATGCAGAATAATAAATGACCAAGTGGGGTACAGAGAACAAACACCTGGCAACTGGACACAGTGCACTGCCAGCCAGCTGATGTGGAACACATACAAGTTTTTCATATCCAAAGATACGAGGCAAATCTTAGCACGTTACCAAAACCAAAGTTACATAAACTGAAATTATACAGAATATATCTAATCTTAATCACTGCGTAATGAAGCTATGTATTTCAAAAAATACCTATCAAATCTCTTTCATTTTGGAGCCCAATATGGTGGCTCATACTTGTAGCCCATCAATGGGAGAGTGAGGCAGGAGGATTGCCACAAATTTGAGATCAGCCTGGCCTCCACATTTAGTTCTAGGCCATCTTAGGCTACAGAGTGAGATTTGGTCTCAAAATCACAACAATCTCTTCCAATTTTGAAATTTAAAAACACATCCAGGCAGGGCATGGTGGTGCATGCCTTTGATCCCAGCACTCTGGAGGGAGAGGCAAGCGGATCTTTGTGAATTTGAGGCCAGCCTGGTCTCCATAGTGAATCCAGGCCAGCTGTGGCTACAGGAAGACCCTGTCTCAAAAAAACCAAAAAAAAAAAAAAAAAGCCCACATCCAGGGGCTGGAGAGATGGCTCAGTGGGTAAGTGTTCTTGCTATGTAAATTTGAGGACCTGAGTTCAAATCCTAGCACCCATATAAAAAGGCAGGCATTTGATCCCAGCACTCAGGAGGCAAATATAGGCAGATCTCTGTGAGTTCAAGGCCAGCCTGGTCTACAGAGAGAATTCCAGGTCAGCTAGGGCTATAGGGAGACCCGGTCTCAAAAAAAAAAAAAAGGTGGGGGGGATTGGGGATTTAGCTCAGTGGCAGAGTGCTTGCCTAGCAAGCACAAGGCCCTGGGTTCAGTCCTCAGCTCTAGGAAAAAAAAAAAAAAAAAGCCAGGCAAGACGTGTGCACCAATAACCCTAGCACTGAGAGGGAAAAAGAGGATCGTTGGGACTCACTGGTCACCAGCCTAGCTCCAGGTTCAGTGAGAGATCCTGTCTCAAGGGAATAAGACAGAGGGTGTTAGAGCAGTCATTTCATCTCTTCCTCTGGTCTCCCAGCATGCACACCTGCATACACGTGCACCCACACCATGCCTAGACACAGGAGAGAGAGAGAGAGAGAGAGAGAGAGAGAGAGAGAGAGAGAGAGAGAGAGAGAGAGAGAAACTGTAAATAAGGAAGGAAGGAAGGAAGGAAGGAAGGAAGGAAGGAAGGAAGGAAGGAAGGAAGGAAGGAAGGAAAGACCACACCTAAATAACCATGAGTCAAACAAAAACAAAAGCACTTAGTTCCAGGTACTAACTACGTTTTTAAAAAGTTAAATGGCAAATTTTGTGTTCTATGTATTTTATCAAAGTTTCTACTATTATCCCACTTGGAGGTGGAGGCAGGAGGATCAGGAGTTCACTGGCATCCTCAGTTAGACAGCAAGTTTGAGGCCAGCCTGTGTCATAAGACCCTGTCTCAAAAAACAAAGTTTCTAAAGCTAGGTAATCCCATCACTAGAGATGAAGGACCTCTAGTACAAGGTCAGCCATGGCTAAGCAGTGAGAACCTCTCAATCAATCAATCAATCAATCAATCAATCAATCAATCCAGTCAAGGGTGGTAGTACACACCTTTAGTCCCAGCACTCTAGAGGTAGAGGCAGGCAGATCTTCGAGATCAAGGCCGGCCTAGTCTACATAGGGAGCTACACAGGAAATGCCAGGCCAGCTGGGACTACAGGGAGACCGTGTCTCAAAAAAAAAGAAATTCATTTGAAAAAGCATTAATGAAAGTCTGGCTCAATAGTAGGATGCAGACCTAGCATGTGTGAGGCCCTCGGTTCAACTTCTAGTATTGAAAAAAAAATTCTGAGGATTTATAAAAGTATTAATGAAAAAAAATTTTTTTGGAGACAGGGTCTCCCTGTAGCCCTAGCTGGCCTGGAACTCACTATGTAGACCAGGCTGGCCTTGAATTCACAGAGATCTTGCCCACCTCTGCCTCCAAGTGCTGGAATTAGAGACATGTGCCACCACACCCAGTGGGGGGGGGAAATGTTTTTAATTAGCAAAAACAAGCCCAAAGAAAATAAAGGAAACA